TTTGGCGAAGGGATCGTCAATATCGCCTGTGCTGGTCGAAGATGGTTCACTTCTTATGCTCCTCGGTTCGCTGTCTGTCCAAACCGATTCGGTATCGGTCCGTGTAGATGACGAACTAGGTGAACTAGGCGGGGAGCTGAGGGGCCGTTCTTTACACGCTTGGCGGGCTTCAAGCTCCCGTCGAGATGGAATAGGAAGGTAAGGAATAAACTCAGACGACTTGGATGCTACTAGAGAGACGATGGGAATGGGTACGACGGGAGGCTGTGGAAGTTCAGGTGGAAAAAGGCGCTGGCGAGGTGGCGAGACAAGCTGCTTGAATTTTGAAAGGACAGTGGTCGTCGACGTTGGCCTACGCGGTGACGGCGAGTCGAACCAAGCAGTGGTAGGGACGCGAATAGAGACATCTGGTTCATGGTCGAGGTCGAGGGCGTTCTCGACGAGCGATGCGAACTCGTCGATGGAGAAGGGAGTTGAACGAGTGGATGCCATCGAGGACAGCGACGAGAACGATGATGATGATGATGATGATGATGACGGTAATTGTGAGGAAAAAAATGGGCCTGCCTCTGACTGCCATCGTTTTTATCCGTTCGCGTCAAAATGTCATATTTCCTAATTGGGAAAGTGATCCTCCTTCTTTGAGTCGCTGATCTTTGGCCAGGAACTCGGTCGGCGTTGCCCATTTACAGCAAGTCCTTGACGACAGTCTTCTTTCATTTACTGCCAAATGCATATCGACAGCTCCAGCCAGTGTCATTGTCCTTGCGCCCTACTTTTTCTTTCCTGCCGGTCCCTCTGCGGAACTCATCCGTACACATACTTTCTCTCTCGTGGTCGCATCCGGTCTGCAGAATTCCGCGACGTCCAGCCTCGAAAAATGATAAAGATTTCGGAGCGGATGGTCTAGCGAAAGTATGCTTTTCTCGGTACGCATCTCGGACCGGGAAAGAACAAGGCTTGGCTGTAGCACCTGGGACTGTCTCGTGATAAGATGTTGTACTGGGTAGGCTTCTTTCGACTTGTCCGCCACCGTAGAATATGAGGATGTTGGAGATAACGCTGGAAAAGAATCGTATTGTCACTATTTTCTGTACGATGCTTACAATGTCCGATAGGATTTTGTGGTGCCTCGTGATAAATAGTATGGACGTTAGTTGTCCTGGCGGACGTTTGCCTTCCGGAAGACGACGCCACAGTAGCAGCCTGATAGAGAATTCTGTCAAAGCACCTAGTCAGCATGGTTTTTTTTTCCGACTCGACAAAAAAAAAAACAACTCTTACACCCGCTCCCAAAGCCTCTGTATTCCCTACTATAAACTTCCGTTAGACATCAGCGTTCTAATTGTGGACCTAACCTTAATCCCACCCATCGTACGTCTTTTCATGTCAATTTGGACATCTCGGCAGCCGGCTCCGTAAAATAAGAACAAGACAGTGTGATCCAAGCACTCGGCACCGAATTCCCTGTCCCGACGATGTCCGGCCTTCAGCTTCAATTTAGGGAAGGAGTGAGGTTATCTGACTGATTAATTAGGTTCTTGAAAAAAATCATTCGGCATCTCGTAAACAGGTACGATTGAGGCGGTCAATTTTTCAGGTCTATACCTCCGCTGTAGCTATGGTACCGAATGAACACACGCGCCGCCATGAGTATACCTGAGTGAAAAATGAAAACGCCGGAACCGACGATCCAGTTGGTCGGCGTCTTGCAAAGCATGTACGAATCAGTCCCGTCTGTAGTAATGAGTATCCATCTGTCGTCATGGACCTGAATGTAATCCTCACAGCGGCCAGAACACAACCAGAACGCGGACATGAAAAACCGGCGACTTGAATCAGTGTGTCGGTCACTAGGATCAGTAATAGCTTTTCTGACTTTCAGTGAGGACAGCAGAGTGCGATGAAGATTTTAGCGGAGATTACAGAGTGACAAAAAAAAAGTTAGCTGTGGCAGTGCATTGCAGATGTCAGCGTCCTTCAAAGGAAACAAGCACAATTAAAGACACAGCCATACGGCGACATCTTTCACAGTAATCTCCATGCACAACCGGAACATTTACCGCCGAGCGACAGACTTCGTTGAGCTAGCCAAAGCATATCCCGAACTTGAGAACCAGTATGACCCGGCTTACGCCTAGTATTTGCTTTACTAACTGGCAAAGACATCCAGCCTGATACACTCACCTTCAAGCAGCTCCCTGAAGACAATTGACTTCAAAAACGAAGAATCACAGAGGTCTAAATATCTCATATATCTACATAAGTCATGAAATCTTATGCGTCCTAGATGTCTAACAAGGGCTTTATTACACCGGGACTTTGGCGTTGACGTTGTGTTGCCTGAGGATCGCCTATGTCCTCCAGTATGTAATGGCATATTGTGTCCTTCATCTCTTTTCTAAAGTTCATCTATTTATCCAGGTGCCCAATAGGTTGGTGCCCGTCGATCATTATCCTGAAGAGCTGATGTGTGATTGGACGTAGATTGAACTATGTACTCTGGATACAGGACATTATACGAGAACACCCGTCCTCGACTGTGTGTGGAATTGACATGTATGTCCGTTTCTCAGTCGATTGATGACGCTGATTTCCTCTGGAAAGAGGCACAGGCGCATCTGCAATCTACCCTCTGCTCGCATGTAAACTTGAGTTGGACTGGTCCTTTGTGGCTACTGGCGAGTCAAATTTTATGACTAATACAATAAATTCATTTAAAACACCCTGTAGAGCTCGATGATGCGTCTTTCCAACTAGCCGAATCCAACATCGCGAGAAATCATCTTGGTAATCGGGTACGCCTGCTCCAGGCGCATCCCGGACAGTCTATTCTTTTCCCGCTAACGACGTACCCCGATGAATCGTGAGTCTCTATAGCTTGGTCCCAGCTTTTTTGACCATGTTTTTCTCAGGTTCTCCTTCACGATGTGTAATCCACCCTTTTACGCATCCTTGAGTGAAGTGGCGCTGTCAGCAGAAGGGAAGGCTATGGATCCAAATGCTGTAAAGAATAATCATTCATCTTGGCTGCTTCTCACGCAGACGAAAGGTTTGCACTGGTGCGCCCGTTGATATGGTAACTCCTGGTGGCGAGGTAGCATTTGTGTGCCAGATAGTGAGGGAGAGTAAGCAGTTAGGCACGCGTTGCAGGTAATTCCATTCAGACGCGTCAAAATCAGGCTGACAAGACGATTAGGTGGTATACCTCAATGCTGGGCAAGATGTCCTCTCTGACAGAAGTTGTTGATCTGTTGAAAGAGCTTTCTGTGCGTTGATATAAAACTTGTTTTCGCGATGCCCAGATAGACATTAACGCAGATTGAGAACTATGCCATCACCGAATTCGTTCAAGGACAAACGAGAAGATGGGCAATCGGATGGTCGTTCACTGACGAACGGCTGCCTGACGTTCGTGAAGGCCCTCCCTCTTTATCGTGTCACTCATCTGATATCTGAACAGTCAATATCTCGTATACCCAACCCCGCTTTACGTTCTCTTATGCCGCCGCACAATAATATCCTGCAATCTGTTCCTGGAGACAAAGTAGTCGATATCCACGAGGCTCTCCTAGCCATTAGTGGCTTGGAGACAGAGGTATACGATGTGTATGTGCTCGTGAAGGCCAAAGAGGATACTTGGTCAAGGAGCGCCAGAAGGAGGAGGAAGCATGACGTTGTTCATCTTCCTTTGAACTGCAAGATGGTGTGTACCATTCAAGTTTTTAAAGGCAGAGTTGAGTTTCAATGGGTAAGGGGAGCCGGATCGGAAAGGGGGTTGTTTGATAGTTTCTGTGGTCATGTTAGTCGGAAAATACTGGCGGAAAGATAGCTGACATCCAAACCGGGGCAACCAGTCCGACTGGCACCTTTTCTTTCGACTACCACTGACGCGTCCATTCATTCGAACTTTTTTGTTCATTTCACGCGTAGTCAAAGGACGTGGTCTGTCTTCTGGATTCTAAAAAATACTTAGGGTCTACTTTCGAGACGGACGCGGCTCACTTGTGTACTCCCGGTATGAAAACACTTCCAGGTCGGTCAACGTTCGTGAAACATGGGAAGCTGTAGAATGAGTAGTGAGCTCTGTGTACGCTCTTGATGAGGGAGAGATATCTCTGATGAAATTTGCTCTTAGGACTTCGTGGATGCAGTCAGTAACCAAAATGTCCTCGAAAGATGTATATTGGAGAGCTCCCTTCTCTCACAGTTAACTCGACAAGAAATACCCTTTGACGTTCCCGAGCGGATCTAGATGTTGTTGAAGCAGTGCTTCCGACTTCGAGATAGATGCGAGCCAAAGACTCTTAGCGGGGCCTTTAAGTTATGAACTGGACAAGTTTGTGTAGTCACACGGAATGTCTTCGGTATTTGCTGCTTACCTGCTACGGAGAGAATGTTGAACGATTACATGTCGCGAAATCAAGACTACCCGCCGAGATGACAATTTTAGTGCCCCGAGTTACAGTATATAGACACGCAAGTCGGGTAGTGGTGTTATCTGCGTGAAACATTTTGCTGGGGATCTTACCAGTGAACATACTCGTCCGCGAGCTGTCCTGGCTCATGATCCCAATGAGTACTTGTCAAAATATTTTCTGATCGGCCGATCGAGCTACACGACTCTCTTCCGTCCATATTTCATCCCTTTCTTACCCAGGTTCACGAGTTGTATGTTGGCCCTAGGGTTGCGCACGAAACCCTAGGTTTTCTTACACCGGAGTTTCAAGCTGGTAAGTTACCTGTCATTATCATATTCAATCCTATTGCCTTCCTATTTACAGAGCCCAGTAGAGTTCTATAACGTTTTTCAACAAATTATAGCTCATGAGAGAGAAAAGCGTGCAAAAAAATGCGAAGATAAAGTTAGGATAAAGATTCTGGAAAGAATCAAAAAACCCCTCGCGAAAAGATCGGTACAAAACCGTACTCTACCAGCCTGGAGGTTTCGTGCACAACCCTAGACGGCCGTCCAACGTCCGAGACAAAGCATTCACATATCCGACTTGCCTGGTTCGAACAGGCGACCTCAAGATCGACTATATTTAATAATCGGGTTATCCGTTACAGTCTCGCGCTCTTCCAACTGAGCTAAAGTCGGTGTGCATTTGTCTCCCTATATAAACTACATGTATTTTATATTTCTTCAGATTTAGTCATTCTGTATTGCTTTGCCTACTTGCTCTACCATCATGTGGGGTAGGTAAGGTCTCGGTCACTGTTAACAATTAGGACCTTCTCACGTATATGAACAGTTGTAGGATTGACGGGAGGCATCGCTACTGGAAAGTCAACCGTCTCCGGCTTGCTGCGCGACAAGGGCGTTCCTATCGTTGACGCCGATGTCATAGCCAGAAAGGTCGTCGAGCCTGGTACGACAGGGCTCAGACAGATTGTCAAGTGCTTTGGCCGGGACGTTTTGCTTCCTGATGGATCTCTGGACCGTAAAAAGTTGGGCTCGGTCGTCTTTAACGACGAGTCGAAGCGAAAGAGATTGAATGCAATTCTGCATCCTGCTATTCGTAGGATGATGGTCTGGGAGGTGGTCAAGCACTGGCTCGGTGGACAAAAATATTGTGTCTTGGATGTGCCCCTCCTCATCGAAGGGCCTATATGGAAGTGGGTCGCCCAGGTCGTCGTGGTATACTGGTATGTCCTCTACTGATATGTTTACTTCGTATGCTAATCTCTTTTTCCTAGTCCCGAGGAGAGACAGCTGGAGCGACTGATGCAGCGTGATGGCTCGACGCGAGAAGACGCCTCTGCCAGATTAACGTCCCAACTACCTGTCGGCGACAAGGTGAAGTATGCGGACGTCGTGATCGACAACTCGAGTACCAGGGAGAACCTTGAAGGACAGGTTACTGCGTTTGTGCAAGGCTTGGAGAAAACTGTTGGGTGGAGCTGGACGTTGAGCTGGTTGGTTCCGCCGTATGGTATCCTGTCAGCGGCGTGGGTATTAACCAGGCGAGCAATTTCGAGGAAGACCAAGACCAACTAGAAGTCATTGGACCTTCATGAATGGCCCAGGCAGATCTTTGAATTCTCCTGTGTAGACAGCGGCCACTGCACACATCAGAAATATACAGGTGCGCAATTATACACTCTCGCTTGATTCTTTCCCATTGACAGTGTACCAGGCCTTGAAGAATTCCATTGTATAATAACGTTAAACCTGCGAGACATGTTCTACTTGACAAGTGGAACCTATGCTGGGTCCAGGTGCCCGTACGCTATTGCATCGTAAGCTTAAGCGGCACGAATACCATCACGGTCAAACCATGCTAGCTCCGCACACTGTCAGGCATCTATCAACGCTGCTTCTACATCTGAACAATCTGATGCTTTTCCGGACATTTGGACCATGGGAATGATGGTGACTGAGTGCTATTCTTCAACGTCGTTACATAACGCCGCTTGCATTACAGTCGACTGCCTGACAAAGGCTATTGATTTTTGGCGCTCGGAAGCTCGTGATTCGATGAGAGATGTATGTGTCTATTCTGTGGGGAAGCCTGGGTGTAGTGGTTATCATTCATGCGCTGGCAGTTACTGATGGAAAAATTTTCGTGTTACGCAGTAACGTTACTCAAAACTAGACGGGCTCTTTTGATCACGATGAAATATAGTTTTTCATCGTTAATTGACATGAGAACATTGCGGCATCCTATTCTTCGGTGGTTAACGGTACCATTGACCTTTTCTCCTTGTGATCTATTAAAGCGTTCACTGTTCAGGCCTTCAGCTTCAGGTTTTAAGTGTTTTGTGTATGGTCCAAGCGGCTCACTGATAAAACACGCCCGCCAGGTCGCTCTCTATCGCCGACAAGATGAATTACGTGCATCTGTGCCTAGCTGCGGCGTAGATAACTTGTCGCGAATCTTTGCGAAGACGAAAGACGGACCAGAATCAGCACTGAAATTGCCGACTTTGATGGTTCCATGCAGCACAATCGGGACCCCAAAAGTGATGAATTTTGTCAGCATCGTCACTTTGTCGTAGATTATTTGTATCTTGGTAGGATGGCGTATCGTGCAGTCCCATTCTGCCCATCCATGAAATTTCCCTGTATTTGTCCTGTATTGTCCCTGTATCGTGATGTCAGTAGGTGCGCTGTATCAACGCCGTCCGGATAGTGGATGTCGAAGCAGATCATTGTGAAACGAAAAGTAACCGCAGCAAAAATAATAAATCTAACATGGCGTTAATATTAGCCCCTTCTTCCCCCTACCACCATCATGTCCATCATAGACGTTGTCCCTCCATTCGCAAAGCCTGAATTACCGTCCGCAGAGGAGTATCGCAAGCGAAAGGTCGCTCTCATTTCTGGTATGCCTTTGTCTTAGGAAGGTGCGCTTATTCATGGATGACTTCAGGTATCACTGGTCAGGATGGCTCGTATCTGTATGTACCATCCCAGTTTCCGCGATTTTCTCTCATTTTTCGTCGGGCAACAGAACGGAACTTCTGCTCTCCAAAGGGTACCAAGTACACGGCATTATTCGTCGTTCATCGAGCTTCAATACTGGTCGTCTGCACCATCTGTACGAAGATCAGCATGAACGTACGTTGCCCCGTCCTTCTCGCCAGCACTCCCTTTGATGTCCTTCAGGGCCCAACAAGTTCAAGCTTCATTACGGCGATCTCAGCGATAGCACCAACCTCGTGTACATCATCGCCCAGGTCCAACCCACAGAGGTGTACAACCTCGGAGCCCAATCGCACGTCAAGGTCTCCTTTGAAATGGCCGAGTACACTGGCGACGTCGATGGACTAGGCACACTGCGGCTACTGGACGCCATCCGTACATGCGGGCTCGAGAAACATGTGAGGTTCTACCAGGCCTCAACGTCCGAGCTATACGGCAAGGTCGTTGAGACCCCTCAAAGTGAAACAACCCCCTTCTACCCCCGTTCGCCCTACGGATGCGCCAAACTCTACGCCTTCTGGATAGTCACCAATTACCGGGAGGCGTACGGGATGTATGCTTGCAACGGAATCCTGTTCAATCATGAGAGCCCACGGAGAGGCCGGACGTTTGTGACAAGGAAGATCTCGAGAGGGGCGGCTGATATCTCGCTGGGAAAGCAATCGTGCTTGTATCTTGGGAACCTGGATGCTCAGCGTGATTGGGGACACGGTGAGTATATGCGCGATGCTCGGCTTTCATATCTTTCTTCTTACGTCTGGGATAGCGCGTGATTATGTTGAGGGGATGTGGCTCATGTTGCAGCAGCCCACTCCTGAAGATTTCGTTCTTGCTACTGGGGAGACTCACCCTGTTCGGGAGTTTGTCAACAAGTCTTTTGCTGCGCTTGGTATTGAGCTACGGTGCGTTGTGTCCCTCTTCGCCTTATTTACTACATATACTCACTTCGCATATAGATGGTCTGGCCAAGGAGTCGATGAAGAGGCAATTGATGTTAAGACGGGCAAGGCTGTCGTAAAGGTGGACACACAGTACTTCCGTCCGGCTGAAGTCGAGTATGTATACCCTGACGTTTGCATGCTGCCTTTACTAACATCCCTGTTATCATAGCCTCCTCCTTGGCAACCCTGCAAAGGCTGAGCGTGTTCTAGGATGGAAACGCAAGGTTGACTTTGACTCTCTGGTAAAGGAGATGGTCAATGCGGACCTCAAGGCTGTTAAAAGCTTAGTGGAGGATCAAAATTAGGTATTGTTACAAAACTCGAGGAGGCATCCTGCGATTTCCTATGTATTAAACTTCGGACAGTGAATTTGGTTGATTTACGTTATGCCTCTATGCGAAACTGTCCATTCTATCTACGGAGACGTCTTCTTGAACCCTGTTCTGGCGGTATCATAATTCGCCAGGAACCACTTCACAGTTGCATCGAGGGCTTTAAATCGCAGTGATGGGTAACCCATTTTCCCACATGGGTAGTAGTAAAACTCACCTTCAGGGAAAGGAGTGAATTGGAAGCCTCCCATGAGGGAGATCACTTTCTTGTTGGAAGCAGGTTTACGGTATTGACCGTCTGCACGAGTGGTATCGAACTGTACAAATGCGTCTCGCAGCGCAAATAGTCAAAGATACATCACTTACGGTATAATCACCTTTGAAGTCCAATGCTTTCACAATAGCGTCCGTGACTTCCTTGATAGTGACTTCTTCATCTTCTCCGACTAGACATGTCCCTTAGATTATAGAATCCTGCAAGAAAAGACGATACAAACCGGAAAAAATGACGGGCTCAACATCTTCGTACTCCCGAAGCTGCCAGATGAACATTTTGGCCAGATCATAGGAGTAGATAAATTGTCTCAGAGGCTTTCCAGTTCCACTGACGATGAAGGGTGTGTTGCTCTCTGTGAATACAATACAATGGGAGAGGTGATTTGTTACGAAACTATTCGACGTACTCTGTGCTAGCAGGCATTTGTGAATTAAAGCGGGAATAACATGGGCGTCTTCTAGATCACTGAGGAACCATCAGGATGGCAAATAGGATATGGCGCGAGAGACTTACAAGTTATCATGAGGACCAAACACGTTCGTGGGGATGGCAGAGGTAAAGTTGCAGCCGTACTGCTCCTTGTAAGCACTGTGGCAGACGATCAGATTGTATATCGATAATGACGGGTAGCGGGCCCACCGGTTAATGATATCCACCATCCGTTTTGAATGAGCGTAGCCAAAGTTGCTGGGGTGCGGTGGGCCAAGGTGGATTTTGGTCTCATCCAAGGGGTATGTGACCTTGTCCGGGAAGACGCAGGTCGAGAGACACGACACGACTTTCTTGACTTTGAAAAGGTAGGCCGTATGTAAGACGTTGTCGTTAATGAGAAGGTTGTCCCTTAGGAAACTGGCCTGCAGTAATGTCAATGTACAAGGAATCCGGGATAGAGACGAGATCTAACGTTACTCCTCATGTTGGCGAATACGCCTCCCACTAGATACGGAATCAGTACATCGTATTATCGTGATGGGCGGCAGAACACCCACCGACTGCTGCCAAATGAATAACATGGGTTGGCTTGTACTTATCAAATAGTTTTCGAGTCTGCTCTGGATCCCTGCCAACAGCAATGATTGCAGGTGCCGCCTATTGATTCGGTACGGTATGCCTTACCGCAGG